AGGTCACGCACTTTGCGACTATCCTAGTCTAGAAATATAGTTAAGGGCAGAAATTGGCCCTTGAAACAAACTGAAAAAATCATTATGGCCCGAAGGCTTTAAAGCTTGGAGGCCCCTGGCCTAAGCAAAGATATTATGAACCTTTTCAGAAGAGTTTTCATTAGTATTTGCAAATTTATTTCTTCTTTTCATGGAAATTTAATATTCTGTATATCCATTATAGGAGAAGTAGATTGTCAATGAGCTTCAGACATGTTTCAATATATCAAAAATCGACTATATCGAGATCTGCGAAGTAATCAACATTTTTCACTTCATTGCTCAGATATCCGTACACGAGACGTAAGTAATTAAAAAACTTCGTTCTTTGCTACATCGGTTGTAAACAACAAATTGAAACAATCATAAAAATGCGTTTCAACTGATTGATAGTAGTTATTTGTTTGCCATCGAAAATTTCAACAACCTCTTGATTCATTTATCACGATATATTTCCTGACAAATGAAAAATATAACAACTAGGAACATTTCCAAATTTTCATTTGTTTATGTGATAATGAAAACCACAAAACACATGAAATGCAATAACTTCGTCGGAATACTGATTTTTAATTAAATACAAACCGATTCACAGGACATTTTGTTATCCAAAAATTCTGTACAGTTGACCTACTTTATGCGAATATGCCTCAGTTATGAAACGGTATCATTTTGTATGTAGCTGGGAGAACAACTAATTTGGAATCTAGATAAAATACTAATATATGTGACTGATGACTTGTTTATTTTATGGTAATTCATGATCACTTTAATGAAATTAATAAAAACATTTTTGTCTAATTACCACTNAAACGTCATCTTTCTTGACAACCATTAAAAATGTCACTTTCAGTGAGTTGTACAAAAAAGTTATCATTCTAGTTTCTCATAGTATTTTCTTTTTTGATGAAAAAACTGCAAATTATAAACATTCAGAATATTTGAAAAAAAAATGAAAGATTATGGAATGGAAATTTTGGTAGGAGATGAACATCAACAAAATTGAATGATATCCTAGCTTTCAAGTATAATTACTTCAAAAATGAAAATATGTAGAATAGTTTATTCGAACTGCTCAATATATTTTTGTGCTAGAAATTATGAATTTAGTAAAGTAATTGAAAAATGAAATTCAGTTGAACAAAAATGTCAAAAATGAACGAAGTTGAACAATATTTAATTTTCCTTCATTTCAAAACAGGAACTGACAAAAAGTTAGTATTGGATTTTCCTAATATATTTTTCTGCTGTAAATAGCCAATCGATGGAAATATATAAAAACGAGAATCACCTGAAAAATTATATTGAAAATCAACAAATTTGAATAACAACAGTTCAGTTCATTCAATAAAAATTTGCGAAAAGGTATCATTGAAGTTTTCCAATATATTTCCATACGAGAAATGAGTAACTATGAAAAAATTTCCAATGAGAATCCGTTGAAGAAGAAATCAACAAACTTGAACATCAATTCAATGCCTTTAAAATCAAAATAAAAATTTGCAAAAAGTTATCATCAATTTTCCCAATATATAGAAATAGGCAATCAATGGAAATATACAAAAACAAGAATCATGTGAATATTCATATCAAAAATCAACAAATTTGAACAACAGTTCAGTTCATTCAAGTTCAAAATAAAAATTTGCAGAAAGGCATTATTGAAATTTGCCAATATATTTCCATGCGAGAAAAAAATGCAGTGAGAATCAGTTGAAGAAGAAATTGACAAAGTTGAGCATCATTTCAATTTCTCCCAATTCCAAATGCAAGTTTGCAAATAGTTATCATGCAATGTTCTCAATATAATTTTCTGCTGGAAATAGACAGTCAATGGAAATATACAAAAAACGAGAATTACGTCAAGAATTATATCAAAAATTGATTAATTTGAACAACAACACATCAGTTCGTTCAATTTCAGAATAAAAATTTGCAAAAAGGTATCATTGAAGTTTTTCAATGTATTTTCATACGATAAATGAGCATCCTGTGAGAAAATTCATAGTGAAAATCAGTTGAAAAAGAAATTAAGAAAGTTGAGTATTGGTTCAATTCCTTCAAATTCAAAATAAAAATTTGCAAATAGTTATCGTTCGATTTTCCCAATTAATTTTTCTGTTGGAAATAGGCAGTCAATGGAAATACACAAAAACGAGACTTACGCAAAGAATTATATCAAAAATTGATATACTCAACAACAACAACTCAGTTCATTCAGTTTCAAACTAAAAATTTGCAAATTTGCAATTTAAAAGAGTTTATCCAATTTAACTATCTCATTTGTTATAGTACAAATTTATAATGTTGATCTCCTCATGATATGTTTCGCATTCATTTCATTCCAGTGAAAATTATGATACCTACATAAGTATGTCCTTTTTTTGGAAAAAATCTACTTACTTGAATAAAGTTGGGAAAATCAATTCGAAAATCACCTCATAATGGGTTTTTTATGTATCCAACTATTGAATCTAATTCTGTACAGAGGTTTGTTCATTTGAAAAAAACACATTTCAATATACAGTGTGTCTCACTCCTCGTGGGAACACCCCCGTTTCTTCCGCAATAATCAAGGTAGAACGATGAAAGTCTCAGGACTGATGTAAACGCTTAAAATCCACCTACCACCTGAATGGGGTTGGCCAAAGTGATATACACTCTCCGCCACTCGATCAAACTGGAAAATCAAACTGTTTGATCTGCCTCTTGAAGATGATCACTTGGTGATCAAAATGCGTGTCGAGGTATTAAAATAACGGTTTGGTGTTGGGAAAAAATCCAGTGATATTCAAAAAACATTATCACGGAAATATTTCCAAAAAAAAACACCGAAAGAATATTAAGAAGCATTGACTTCCCCACACAAATATCTTCGAAAGAGTATTTTCATGTCAACTAATAGCAAAGGAACTGAATCTGTTTTGTTACCGATCGCTGAGTTCAAAGTTTCGCACGAGAATGGCTCATTGTATTATCCAATACATTAATTAGATATAGGACGTTATCAAAGTTCGATATAGTCGGTTTCAGGGCCTCGTACGATGTGACAAGATTAATGGATTGATATCGATGGAGCAGAGAGGATTTCGATATTGTAATTCAGGATTAGGATTTTACGATGTGCCAATATCGCACGGACGTAAGTAGGCTTTATATTTGAGGATGAAACCACTGTGCAAACCTATCGAATTATGAGGGCCGTTTGCGTATCTTGGGTGGTTTTTCTGTGGAAACTTTTACATAAATAATGACTAAGGTCGGAAATAATTTCAATAAAATTTCAAGATTTTTTTTTCAAGATTTTCAGGATTTTATTTATAGGTCATCATTTTTACAGTTTTTACAGTTCATATATACAGTTATATTACCCTCAGTGTGAGGATGGATGCACCTAAGTAACTAAAGTACTTGTGTTGCGCTTTCCATCTACCACTCAGGGTATTCAATTATGTATATGTCATTAACTGTCTTATATCTATTATACATTTCCATACATTTCCATTAATTAATTTACACAATTGATGAACATTGGGAATGATGAAGAGCTTGCTAAACATCGTTTATGTTTAGCAGAATAAATCGAGAAGTTCGGTATTGATCATAATGACTGTTTTGATTGATTTTTTGAATGTATTGAGATTGGAACTGTTTCTTATGTTAACTGGCAGAAGATTGAATAATTTTGGATCGTGATAGAAAATACATCTCTGTGTGTGGCTTTTATCAAATGTTGGTATGTTTATGGAAGAACTAGTAACGAATCTTATTTGTTTTTCTTTGTTTGTTGATTGAAGTGTAAGTTTGTTCGTGTACAAGCAAGTTAAACATTGGTGGATATAGAGTTCTCTCGTTTTCAGTAACTGCGTTTCCTTATAC